CACGTCGCTGCAATTCGGGATTGGATGTGAGTCGTCCTCAGGTTTCAGTGGACCACCTCGATTCGGTGATGTGTGTTTTTCCAGTCTTGTATGCTGTGTCGAGGTCGCCTTGCCAAGAAAAGCTATTGTCCGAGGTTTTTTCACTTATGCACTGTGAGCCTCAATGATTCACCTCGGGTACCATAATGACTCGACTCCCCGAACAGGTTTCGTTTACGGTATTTTGTGTCGACACCATTGATATCAAAATCTCGCATCACGTTTCCCGAAATCATCTTGTTGTGCTTTACAAGAGGTTAGCAGCAGTGGACTAGTTCCTGCGTGTAATAATTATATTTGTGGAGATCTTTTGACTATCTTTTTATTTATTAGTTTTCGGTTGAATATCAGGCTGAACCTTAAAGCGACCTCTTTATTTTTGGGTCCAAAAGCTTTCAGAAGCGGATTCATGTTTTGAAAACTTAACAATAATTGTCAGATAGATTGAGGATAAATAAGTTTAACTAAATCAAACCAAGAACGGAATAACTATTTGAATTAAGACCACTCAAGAGCACTTTTACAATTGGCAGCTTTCTATGACGCACGATGGCAATTGGTGTTAAGAGTAAATCTCACGCCTGCCAGGATTTCATATGCTTCCTTTTGTATAAAATATCAACTCTAGCCGTCGCGCATGGGTAGTTTATACAAATTCAAGAGTAATGTATCACTGATTCCTGGTATCTACCGATAAAGTCCGTTGTTAAGATTAATTCGCCACTGAAAGAGTACGATGTTCGAGCCACAACAGAAGTTCCATCTAATCGTTAATTCAGCAGCGCTGAAAATAATGGTTGAGTAAGTTTCTGGGACGAAGAGACTATTAGCAAGACAAGTTGTATTGTGATTGTTCCTGGGTCCCACAAAGATGGTTAGCTAGAAACTCAATTGGAAACCGTGTAAGCCTGAAATCTCCCGCCATTTTTTTCAATAAGATATATGCATGATTAAATTTAATGCACTCCTAATAGTTTTTTCATGCGGATTTTATCACTGTTCCACTGATGATAAAATTGTTCTATTTAATTAATTGCAATCACCCCCCCGGCACCAAATCTAATATGTATAGTTTGCTTTTTAGTGATTTTATTAGGATCATAGATCGCTCAATTTAAAATGTATGGTTTCGGGTTCGACAGTCGAACGGAATTTATTTGAATGCAAAAGTTGTGTGATGAGGTGCTTAGGATAGCGATAGGATGTAAAATCAACGTCATAGTTGATGCTTGTACCTTCACTGTCGCTATCCTTCCTTTTCTAACTGCTTCTCACCTTGTTTCCACTTGGCATCGAAATATAATCCAAGTATTGGTAAGCGTTACTTGATGTAGTGTACGAAAGTGCTCGTCGACTTCTGATACCCTTATTATCAGAAGATCAGGCATACCAATCAGTGGCTATGACTATTTTCCAGATGATGGAGATATCTAATAGAATATATTAGGTGTAGTTTTCTCCATAATAAAGGAGAATATTTAAAGTGAGCGAAGGGATTCTTGGAGCGTGGCAATTATTCTGCACTGGCCGTCTCAAACAGACAGGAAATTCCATTTCGCCTGTTCGCCGAGCTTGGCAATTTCTTTGCAAACGTTTCATCACCAGCCGAGGTGACATCATCAGTGCTTGTGAAGTGACCACTTCACGGGGTGAGGTCGAAGCAGGTCAAGCATCGCTTACTGTCAACAGCCGAAGCGTTCGCGATTCGGTTGAACAACCCCCCCCCCCTCCTTATGCGTTCAATAAAAGTCGGTCAGAGCCCTGGATTTACCATGGCCAGCCATAAGCGGTAGAATGACATAAAGCCTGTTATCAAATGAGTGTCAAATGCATTTGATTCATTCGACAGTACTAATGACATTTGCAGAATGATTCGAACTCACATACACCCCTGACTGTATTATCCCATTTATCCACATACACACACACACGCATACAAACACAGACATTACTTACGCGTATTCTATTTCCTTGAACTATATGATTTTGTAACATATAAAAGAATGCTGTATTTGGTTAGTAAATGAGGCACCGAAAACAAGCCTGTTTGCGAAATTGACTTCTGGATGCAATCCACGGGTATTTTCCAGTAACGAGCAATCATTAAGTTACCAACATTTGACCACAACCGAGATGACATTTTCAGCGCTTAACAACTAGACTGTAAGTGTCACATCGGCTGGTAGTGAAAGAAGCTCTATCTAATTCATAAACTAAGCTAATGGTTGTACAACACAAGCTGATATTTGCGCTATCTCTGTAAATGTTCTTACAAAAAGCGGTCTTTCGTTGGGGGATATTTTTCGAGATTACTGGATCGGCCGAAAAACTCAATGAAGCTTTAAATGTGTTGCACAGAATGATACACCCGGTAATCATTTATCGGAAAGAATTGTAATGCGCTAAAATCTATCTTTGATCGTTTATTGCAAACAACCAATATAGTTTGATTAAAAAAGTGCATCTCTACATGTGAATCTACTCAAATTCCCCAAAGTCATAAACATTCAGACGGGTCACATTTTTCGAGTAGCGCAAATTGATGCGTTTGTTCACTTACTCACTCACTGGTGAATGCATAAATGGAAAAGACAACGGTCAGTATAACTAGGGTAAAGAGAGCAGCTAGTACTATTGTCAAAGTTCGTCGATTCTTAAGAAAGGGGAAAAATTGCCGCAGTTTCGTATCTGTTTCAGAATTTTTCCCTTTCACTCCAGATTCGATAACTTCAATGTGATTTTCACTGATTGACGGAACGGTGGAAGTTGATTTCTTCAACTTCTCAGGTGCTAGATTAATAGATGGTATGGTGTAGTGCGTCTCAACGGAGCCATCACTTGTTCGAAACTTCAAGTGGGACGGCAGAGTCACATTGTCTCCATCGGATTCAGTCGCGGAGCTACGTTTCATCAATTCGGTTGGGCATGCAAATACTGTCCACGGTGCAATACACATTATAGACTAGAGAGGAAAAGAAGAAAACGAAAAAAGAAACGGAGAATAAGATCAGGGTGGAAATAAAAATGAATCGCCAGTTGTAAAACGTGAATGTTACATTTGTGGTACACAGGTTTCAACATTACGCATTAATGAATATGATGACCCTAGCAACTAGATGTTTTGAGTTCCCAACTCATCTAGGGTTCTCCCAGATGGCTCATAGAATGAAAAAACTGGTTTTAAAGTTACAGTTTTACATCAGTTAAATGTCACAGTTGAAGGTGTCCAAAATATCAGTATCTTTGACACGTTCTTATAACGAGTGCAACATTCTATGAGTTCTATCCAAAGGGCGACATGTGAAACAAAGCTACGGGTTGCCAGGTTACATAACCGAAAGGAGTTAATCGCCTCCAGATCATATATGGAACCGGTTCTACGCAGTATAATTGACAGTTTTATAAGTTGAATTTCACATGGGAAAGGAATTACACCTCACAAAAATGCAACATTGAGACGTCAAAAGAATCACTTGAAATGTATTCTTTTTGACTGGCATTCATATGAAACTCTCCCATGAAAATGACTGAAATTCAACAATGTAACGATCTCATTAGCTCGTAGGTTGATACGTTTATCCTTTTTACTTTTTGGCTGGAGACAAGGAACGGACGAGAGGGATGAACTGCAAATGCACCTTCAGCATTTGGCCTAAATGATCATATAAAATGTCTACAATATCCGAGCCTATTCTGTCGCAACTCAAATTATTTTTTCTTGAATTTTAACATTCTAGCAGTTGTATCTGAAAAGAGGGCAACATTCACCTCCTTTGAGAGTAGCTAATCTCCAAAACACATGGGCTAATTAATTTGACAAACAACTGAATCATCGTTGTGGTGCATCGAGATTGAGTAGTGTCGAACTCTATTTGCCGGATCAAATAAAGGAATTTTGGGGAAATTCATATAGGGGGCATAAATTTAAAACTGACCTGATGAAGGAGTGTTTGATAAGTTATTGACCAGACACAGGTCGTGCTTACAAGAAATGTAATCTGGTAATTAATATCCAACTTATCACACGCTGTATAGTGAATTTCGTTGAGTACAGAATAATTGAAGTGTCCATTGAAAAGCTACTGAGCACTGTACAAGTGTTTTCAACTAGTTCAGTTTCGCTAGCAGTGAGAACCCATCGACCCAATTGAGTATCGAACCCAAGACCTCGCAGGTAGAACGCAAGCATTCTACGCACTTGATCACCAAGCCAGCTGAAGGGACCTTTTTCTTTTTCCTCTGTCCAATTGATAAACTACTAACAAAGCGCTAGCCGTTGCCTAGGTTTGAAATATTTTGTGGTTGTAACGACTGCGCACTGGTGACATGCATATATGTGTGGGTGATTGAATGAGTGATTGAACTAGTGGAAAATCAGCTCACCAGGCAGCTCATGTAACCTTCCTTTTTCCTGGTTCGATCAGTAACTCATCATGTCCCACCGAGCTGTTTACCACAGTCCGAGGCGGCTAGAGTACTGGAACCAGTCGGCCCTAGTGAATTGAAAGGGAATAGTAAGTGAACGGAAATTATCTCGGCTGTGCCAAATGGACAAGCTAAAGCCACTTTCAACCAAATGGGAGAGGAACTTGGACATAGTACACCAAACGGTTTGTCCAAATCGAAGCTAATGACAGTGTACCTCAGGTAACATATCATTGTGATCGACATATGACCAGTCCTCCTAGTGGATAAGTCGAGAGATAAAATGTTGTCCTACATATACGCATCAGCTTGATTAGAAATCCACGCAGTTATACGTTTGCTCACCAACGCTCCGAAATAAATAATGAAGCCATGTAAGCGTTCGCCTTCTTGGGTTTGTTTCAATGGGGATTTTCATTCGAATAACTAGTCACAAATCAGTCATTTGAGAGAAAATCGCATTTGTATGTAGTGAAAGAAGCAGAATATGCTCTGCCGTTTTCGGGTACATGCAAATGAATGTAGTTAACCACAAGTCAGTTCAGAGAATAAATCCTGAAGTGAGCTTGCGACAGTTTGGTGGTAAAATCACGTTTGCTTACCGAGACATCCTCCAGTAATTTGCGTAACGTTAAGTATTCACTCCGAAGCAAAGATCTCTCCGAATTTTGACTGATGTCCGTCATTTCAATCTCCTCTGTGGCCCGGATCACAGTATGTAAATCTGGTAACTTTTTAATACCAGTCATAATCAATTGGCACAAGGAGGTGTTTGATTCCGTGTTTAGAGATCGCGCCTCGCTAGTACGCGATTCAACCAGTACAACAAAATTTACGGTTGTATCTGCGGTTGGGAATAGATTAAGCAAATGAAGTGTATTCAACAGAGAGCGCATGTGATAATCCACCATGGCAACGAAACCGGCGTACAATCTTTCGGCCGAGTTCGTTCCGGTGGTAGCCTGGGGATCCTCAGCACCGATTCGCCAGCACTCCACAAGGTGTGCACGCGTGATATAGATTTCTTTGAGCATTAAACGCTGCAGAAGAATAAGCCGTTCTCGAAGCTCTGGTGAATCGTTCTCTGTTCCCACACTCTGACACAGTGTTCGTGCCTCGGCGGTGATTTTGTTCAGGGTGATAAACCCAAGTTGGAAGAAGTGAATCTCGTCTGCCGGTGAAATGGACATAATGTCTTGTAGACTGAACATTTTCGGGTTTTGACTCTGAACTTATATATCTCGAGATTGGCTGGGTGTGGACATATTGCCAAGACAATCGTAGGAGAGGTTGCGGCAACCACAAAGGAGAACAACAGTGCCAGTTTATTCCGGTCATTGGTTCCTAGCCTTTTCCGGTTCGTGGGTAAAAGACCATAAAAGTACACGGCACCAGAGAGACGAATTAGGAAAATTGTGAATTTTGAGTTTTTTAATTTTTTCAGCTACGTCATCGATTATGCTAATGCTTTTTCTAAAACAGAGGAAATCAAGCAAACCAATCAGAGACGAGGTCATACTTTTTTTAAATCGATCAAGAACATGGAAAATTACTGGGAGGGCAAATTGTGTTGTATGGCTTCATGAAACCACCCATTGTTCGATCACATCAAAAAGCTAGAAAATAAACTTGTATAAGTCGGCCGAGTATCCAAGATGCCTCAAACCTGGGTTCCTTCTTTCGTTAACGGTTATACGTAGTGTAAATGGCGGTGGTGTTCCGGTGATAATGTCACCAAATCATCACTTCGGGGGAGGTGTGTTCCAACCTCATCACCACCGCCTGACTTTTCCCCGTTTGTGTGTGTGTGTGTTGAATGGCAGCCCTTTGATTGGCAGCTTTCCCCTTCCTGAAAATTGAATTTTGGCATATTCGTTGTATATTCAAACAAAAGAATCTAATCTCGTAGGTTCATTCGGAGATCATTACCGAAACGCGTAAGAGGAACCTGAGATAATGAGCTGTACTCATTTGGAGTTAATAGGTTGCATAGTTTTGGTGTGTTTCGGGTAAAAAATGACTGAATTCTTCTCAGAGTGAACCGGTGCTAGTTGGTTTGCACAGCAGAAAATAATGCCTCTTCTATACAGTGCCATTATTTTTGTATTAAAAAACGGTGTAAAATCGTTAAAATAAAATGCATTATCGACTTGATTTGACTGCTCCTGCCCGTGGTAGTATGGTTATCCAACATATTTTTGGGATTTTGGTTGACCGTTAAAATACCTAAAATGCCTGTAACATACACCCTTTGATACCGTGGACGCAGAACCACCAGTAAATGTGCAAGTAGCAAAGAACACTGCTGTCATTCGAGGCGGTACCACCAAATATCCGTTGGAGCCATATATGGTTCTGCGCTCCAAGTTGCAAGACCGGGGTGCCCGCAAAGTCTCTCATCTCATTATGGAAAGCATGTAAGATAAAATTATAGCTTATGAACACTCAACTCACGCAAAGTCGTACTCAATAAAATCCGCAGCATTATTTCTGCATGTTTCTTTCGTCAAACCATTTTCCTCTTATTATTATTATTGTTATTATTAGTATTATTTAACTGAAGTTCAACCAAAGATGAGACTCGTATAGCACTTCTCAACTCATTTCTTCCCAGTGGTTTTTGTTGTGATGTTGGTGGTGATGTTGTTGTTGTTGTTGTTGTGGTGGTGGTGGTGGTGGTGGTGGTGGTGGTATAAGTTGACCTCGAAACCCTAACAACTTAGAGAATATAGCTTCCATAACATGGAATGGTTATTACCTTCCCCAGGAGAACAGAACCCTTTGTACTGAAGAAAAAAACACCAACTGTTTGACCTCCACATAACTATCTTCAACCGTGCTGGGAACCACATCTGTACCTTTGATTCTGAACACACACGCGTCCATGCTTATTAAAAACAATTGAATATTCCATATATCAGGCTTATCGGACTACTACCTCAATTCAGTTTCCACCCGATTTAACCCATCTCACAAAAAATGCTAATACGGCCCCACTGGTTGGTAAAACGTTCCTGAACTTTCTGGCTTCCTACCCATAAAATTCCTTTTTTCTTTTCCATCTACATTTAAACCTCGACTTCTAGAATTCTTTAATTTTCTCCTTCAAAGCAAGTGATCGTTTATTCCAGATTTCTTCAAATTGACCAAACTGCTTTCCAAAGAATGGTTCATGTATCCCCTTTGCGACATTTGTAAAAACGAAAGATATATACCAACGCTGGTACCACTCGCCATCCCACGGTCCCCCCAGTATTCCATACAAGAACGCAACAATTGCATAGCTGTCATACGGAAGGCCAATTGGTGCCTATTTGAGCGTAACACAGTACAGATATGAGCCGGTCCTTTTGTAAGCAGGACTTGGTTACTTGATAGAACAGTATCGCGCAGTTTCAGTTTCACTAATCTCCCCTATGGTGATTTAGCATTCGACGCACTTCTAAAACAGCGTTGGTCTCAGAATTTGCTGGTAACCGTACACCTCCCGATGCACCCCAGTCAACCTTAAAATAAACAATCTTTCTACTCCATATTGCTATCATCAGACACTCAAAAGCCGTTGGAGCCCCATGGGATTTTCCTCCACTTCCTCAGAATATGTGATCCAGAACTGTTCCACCCACTCATTCTGATTATCTCTCAAACACGCGTTACTCTCATCCCTTTTTATATGGGGGTAGTTCCCACTTCTAAACGGGATGACCCCTCAGATCCTTATAACCACTGCTTCATCTATCCTGCATCAGCTATCCCAAGGGTTATTACTAATCAGTTCCACCGTCATCCGGAGCAGAAAAAGTTGTCAGTGCAGTTTTCCATTCCTTTAATCGACTGGTGATCTTCCTCCTGGTACATGAGCAACAACGGAGAAAGTCATATAGTGTCGCTAGGTATGTTGATGGCTTTCAATAGGGTTTGATACCGATATCTGCTGGTTAAACTACCACAATTTGTTTTCCCCTCTGAATTTGTGTTCCTATCAGCAAGATTTTAATGTCGCACCATATTCATGTAGATGAATGGGACCAGGTCTCGTAGTGTATCTGTGTCTGCTGTTGCCCCTTAAGGTTCTTTACTGTCCCTCACGCTTTTCCTTTAGTTCATCTATGAATTTCTGCAGATTTCAATCCTATTCAGGCTTCTGCCGACGACGCCTCTGTGCACTCTTCGTTCTTCTTTTCCTCTTCCCGCTCCGTTTACATCAGTCTGAGCATTGGACGTTCCGTTCTTAATAACTCCTGTTATCTTAGTGTTGTTTGGGCTATTGCAATCGTGTTCTCTTTGCTGCCAGTAAAACTCACTTTAGTTTATTTATTTTAAACCTCTATCACATTAACTTTTACCCCAACATTCTCTATGCCTATAGCACGAGAGGGTTGCTATTCCTCACCGGACGTTTATTCACTACTACTTACATTCCATCATAAAACGAAGCTCATTTCGTCCGACGCTCGAATACTACAGTGAAGCTTGAGTGTGGATTCCTCTCCTTTTCTGTTTTTTTTCGTGATCAGATTTAATATGAGGCCAAATTATTTCATCTACATAGTTTACAGAAACCAGTCCACTACCAAGCAAATCACCTTGCTGTCTTTATTCTACCGCTTCTATTTCAGTGACTCTGACTCCCTCACACTTGTTCTTCCTCACAGATTCCGTTCAATGGCAGTGGGTTATTCTTTTCAAGTATTTTTCTCCACGTGTCACGTCTTTATTTTAATCAGCTTTTTCCAATAAGAGCAACAGTGTAGGGCACTCTAGCACTTCTCGTTTTCCGTCCAGCATCTTTAATCTTAAACGCATAATCTTCACCACCCAGTGCACGACGTTTTGTTGCATTATGGAGTTTACACCTTTTGTTCTGTGTCTACTGAAATTATATAAATCTGCTTAGCAGAACATGATTTTAGGAAAACTATTAAAACCACTTGTACAGTCAACAGTAATATCAGCAGTGCCGCGTGTGTGTGCATGTGTGTTTATTACGTTGTCATGCACTTCAAGTGGATCCGTTATAACTTCAAGTGAATCTAACCGCATTCGCCTGGGAACCCGGAAAGTGGAGTTCTTGAGCCGAGTATATCAAAACCCCGGCCAGTCGGGACTAAATGATTTCTCCATAAACAAAGAAAAGTACATTTTGCGTGAGTTACCGGATGAGGATGAAAATCTCGCTGGGGTGGAGTACGGCCGTTCGTTCGCTTCTCCCCCTCCCGTGAACGTTGCGTCCCTGACCGTTGATGGTGTGATCTTCATGGTAGGAAATAAACTAATCACAAAATATGTGCATATATTTTCAGTGTTCTTTTCAGTCCTCTGCAATTACACATATACGAAACAGTTTAAGTAGGGTCAGACAGAAAGGTGGATGAGTATTGTGCATGGTGGTGAGCCCGAGAAATCAGATTGATGGACTATTTGGATTATGTACCGGAAATTCGCTATAAAGATGTTTGAGAGCTTGGATCAATTATCGTTGCTCGCGCGGTTCAGGCCTTGTGAGTCGGACGCTAATCGCCTCAGTGGCCCCTACTGTCCGAAACCACATTGCCCTCGAAGGGTGTGGTAAAACTCCACCAATGATTGTGAATCCCGAGCGCGGCAACAAAGTGTCCCGTCTCTACCACATGTGAGCCTGAGTGCGTGTTCTTTGATCCGTTGAGATAACTGCCTCACCGTTCGACCCACAAAAGTCGCACCACAGGTGCACTTGAATGGATAAACAATCATAGAAGAGGTCAACATAGGCAGCTTATCTTTGTTTTGGTATCGGACCTAGCTGAGCGGCATGAAAGGTGGATTTCGCTTCGGTGGATAAAACTCTACTGACCGTATCAGCGGCCAAATCTCTTTGAAATTGAAGTTTCGTAAAAAGCACTTTTTTCTCCGCTTGTGGTACTTTTGTTGGCTTATTCTGTGCAGTCTCAATACGATCGATAAACATCTCAGGAAATCAGTGACATTTGAATTTCAAGGAATAAATAGTAGTGATTCACACTAACAGCTTTGGGGATTATTTTGACTGAACTGGATTAAACCCCAGTGGTTGTTAGTTTGCTCCATTTGAATCCCAAATAGAAGCCAGTAATCAAGAAATTTCGGGAGCGCAACAAGGGGTCAATAATGTAGATTAGGTTAGTGCCAAGTTCTAGAGGATGACATCTACATATGTGGGGTGCTTTGTATTTTGATTGGTTGTTGATTTGTACTCGCAAACACTGACGATGGAACCTCGACTGGTGATGAAACGTTTACAAACAAATTACTAAACTCGGCGAACAGGCGAAATGAAGAGTTCATATTTACACCGTATTGGGCCTGCAATAATTGCACTCGTTGGTCAACCATTGCAAGAACAGCACAAATCTTACGTGTATGTGAGTGCAACGCTGTGCCTTGTCACTGAAAGCTGAATGTGGTAATTCAGGCCTACGAGATAACGCCTACCCTGGAGCGGCACGTCACAGTTTTCGGACACATGCGACCAATCGAATTGGAATGCTGACGTCAAGGGCACGCGTACGGCTTCTGACTATACGCCATAGGCAGATCGTGCCAGCCAATCCAAGATAGCGCAGGCAGAAGCAAGATTATACAAACAGTATTGCAATCCGATTGATGGAAGCCTAGAAAAGCAATAATCTTCTTTTGTACATATTATTTAATCGCCCTCATTTCTTCCAATAAACGAACTGCGTACTACTACTCCTGTCGCGTCTCGTTCACCTGGACCATCGCGATCTCGTGCCATTGCGGTCCANATTCAGTCCGTGATAACTGATTATTGATTCGGGTCTTGTGATTCCTCTTGCGAGGTTTGCATCCCGAATTCCGTACGTACTACTACTACTACTACTACTACTACTACCATTAGACTGAAGAACGTGGTTGTCAGAGAAATAATGAACATTTGCAGACTTGCTCCATATTCCAGAGCTGGGATTGGTTGAAACCCGATATTTTATGAGAGTGGTGGAATAAATTGCCAATTTTATGGTGTACAGAGCAAACAAAATGGGTACCGAAAATGTGACATGCATTCGGCCTTCGCAATCATTTATCGAGTCTCAGCACATTCCATGAGTTCTGTACGGTTTCGGATATTCGCGACCACAGATGCGAATAATATCCGTCTCAAGTTAATTGAAACACACAAACTCTCCTGGCTGAGAAAGACAAAACCGCTTATGCATAGGATAATGACAAAATATGGCCAACAGATTAATTTATCCTAATATCAAACCACTCTCGAGTGGTCTCGGATCATTACAACACACGATTCATCACCTTTCTGCTTGACCTTCCTGAATTTTGTTTCGAAGGAATTTGATTGTAAAGGTTTGATGATAAATTCACCGATAACGTTTTTGACGACACTATGTTCTAATCAACATGGCTTACCGCGCCAAACATTTCGAGTCCCTGAATCTGTGTTCTATCTGACACTGCGCCNCCCCCCACCCCCCAGCCCCGAAAAAAAACAGGTGTTGGTTGAAATAGAGTCACCACAGTAATATTCACTCACACTCATACTAACTAACTCTTCCCCCCCCCCGCACCCCCATTCTAACTGCACTTACTGACGTTTCTGATCTTCACTTCCATTTTAAGAGTACTGCTGCATTCGTGTTTGTTTACCGTGGGTTTGACAGCCTCATCCGGTTATCACGCTTAAGTGGTGGCCTTTGCCTTAGGTGACTTATCACTGCAACTTGAAGACATCGCCATATTGAATTTGGTGAGAGAAACAGTCTGTTCGTTGTAAGCTTTATCACAACGTCGTAGAACGTATCATCTGAGATGCAATTGAAATTCCTATGTGTAAGACATTGTATTTGTTCATGTTCCTTTATCAGAACTATCGAAAAAGTTATACCCATGATCTAAAAACATAATTTTGTCTGTTCACTTCTGCCAGTTCTGATTGTATCAGATCCGAACGACACCTCAAATGAACCGAAAAATGTATGCAGTATGCGGTGTAGGGTCATTGAGTTGACCTTGTTGGCGGAGATGAGCGCGAACTAACATACAAACCAAATGGTCAGTGCAATTACGGAGTCGGTTTTCTTCCCGATTCCAATGCATTCCTCACATAGCTGATGCCATCTCTGACTCTTATCACAATCTGATTGTATGATTGCCCGCAATTTCCGTAAATTGAAAACTTTGACTGACCATCATCCATTATACTTCATCAATTAACACAATCTTCAGTTTATCGTTTCAACAATAAACTTTGAAAGCGATGGATTCCAGCTTTAGTCTTGTAAAAACAAAGGGCCATCTCATCTACCTTATTCAAGTCTGTCATACCAATAGAATTAGAAGAAAATTTTTCATCGGGTACTGCTTCACTTGTCAAGGACACTCATAAACACTTGCGAATTCCCCCATCCTGTTGAGAACAGAGAAAGACGATGCACACAGTATTGGCATAGTGTATGCGGGTATCCATTTTGATGGAACTCAAGTCCAACTGCAAACCAGTCGATCTATTATAGAAACTGAAGCAAACTGTATGAAGAAAAAAGCTATGCCTGTTCAGGGTACAACGGTTAGAGAGGAGGGGGAGGAAGATAAAGGATTTGTGGATGAATGAAGGGTGAGAATATTGGACAAAAACAGAACAAGTTTTGAGGGTACAGAAGTAAAAGCAGATTG